GAACTTTGCCAAACGTATAAGTTAAACAGGTCTAGATGTAAAGCAAACTAAGAAGTGTAAACTAGAGGAACTTTGCCAAACGTATAAGTTAAACAGGTCTAGATGTAAAGCAAACTAAGAAGTGTAAACTAGAGGAACTCTACCAAACGTATAAGTTAAACAGGTTTACATGTACAGCAAACTAACAAGTGGCAAAATATATGTAAAGTACAGGAACTTTGTCAAACATATAACTTAACAGGTCTACATGTAAAGCAAATTAACAAGGAAGATGATGATTAAATGAGGTTTTTTTCGTATGTTTTACGGCTTACGAAGGACTGTACGTACTATACTCACGTTCTCAGAGCGGACGTGACAATTTGTATTGTTTGCCCACAATGGATCGCATCGGCTCCAGGGAACTTCGTATTGAAACGTGGACGCCATGTAGAAGATCGTATATGACATGATGACGTTGTAATAAATTACGATGATTAGTGATACAGTCACCATTGCAAAACCTACACCTGGTAATCATAATAATAAAAAAAATTAAACACACACATATATATATATATATATAAATAACTTCATGAATCATGCAGTTTAATAATTTAATCCAAGGATAACCAACTTCCTTATGCTTGTGAGCCAGTTTTTTACCTAAACTGTAGTTTGGGGGTCGAAACTATATGACAGGGTAAAAGTTGTTCAGAATATTTGCTTAGTTTAGATTTTAATTCCTACTAAAAATATTAATTTTGGAAACAGCTATTTGTAGCATAGTAGATTTACTTTTGTACAACATTTCGTCTCAGACGTGATCACGTAAAACATTTAATGTACAAGGTTATTTTCGTCGCTCATTATTAAGCCTATTATTACAACTAGGGCTAGTCTATGATACAGACCTGTGACCAAGCTAAAGTCATGCAGGAGCTAATTAGCAAGTCTGATGATTTACATGCTTCGTTAATTTCCTAATTAATAAAAGCATTTAAAAAGGTAAAGCTATTTGAATAATTTTAATAAATCTTTGGAGCATTGTAACTCTCCAAAATCATGAAAAATCAATCTTACACTTGTAATATATATATATATATATATCCAAACTTCCTCAGCAATAAGTAAATGAAATGGAACCTGTAAGTGGGTTCAGCTTACAATAGTCATACATTTTACTTGAAATAAAATGAAAGAATTTACATACAAAAAAAAACACTGCTATTTATGTTAACTGATCATTTAAGTAAAATTCCATTCTGTGTTTCTATGTATAAAGTATAGTAGTTATGTATTTAAGGCTAGATTGTTTAGATCAAATATCAGTCGTTCTCATGGTTATTAGCATATATGGTCATCTAAGTTCAATTATTAATTACTTAGTATTTGTTTAAGGTTATTATTATAATAGATATTAATATTTGCATAGTTAAAATACAAACCATATTACCTTTAGCAATTGGGACGCAAGACCAAATAGCTAATGGCCCTACACCAGCAAACTGACCGAAGGCGAGTTCCATGAAATACATGGGTTTTCCAGCAAATACCAACATCAGTAAATATGGAATAAGAAAGGCACCTGTGTAGGAGAGTATAAAGAAAAAAAAGGTATCACATAAACGTACTATCAACGTTAATAAGTACACCCCCCCCCCCCAGTGGCACAGCGGCATGTCTGCGGAATTACAACGCTAGAATTTTGGTTTCGATACCCGTGGTGGACAGAGCACAGATAGCCCTTGTGTAGCTTTGTGCATAATTAAAACAAACAAACAAACAAACAATACAAACAAACAAATTTACGTATTAAATATTAGTAAAGCCTCGACAACGATGTAATTGCAAATACAATATACGATTCTTACCGAGTTACGTAACCAAACTTTGTCCCAACTATCGCTTTTAAAATGATTAACTTTTAACTTGTTATGAAAAAACAAACAATACAAACAAACAAATTTATGTATTGAATATTAGTAAAGCCTCGACAACGATGTAATTGCAAATACAATATACGATTCTTACCGAGTTACGTAACCAAACTTTGTCCCAACTATCGCTTTTAAAATGATTAACTTTTAACTTGTTATGAAAAAAATAAGCAATCATTAAATATTA